TCGATTCAGCAATCAACGACACTGACCTGGTGCTTGTTTCTTCTGGTGCAGCCACCAGAGGGACAGCAGTCCAACGAGGGCTGATATGACGATGATCCTTTGGAGCATCGTGGATGAGATCAGGGCGATGGGGGAAATGGAGCGCGGGGGTTGGGTGGATGCTTTATACTCCCCATCCCCGGGTGGATTGGGGACCCGAGCCCCCAAACTCGGCCAGAGTCGCGCGATGCGAAAGGGGAAGGACGGACGCCATCGACAAAGCAAAATGTAAAACACCTCGTCAAGTCGGATACAACGGTAAATGTCTGTGGATGGCGATAAGCTATCGAGCCGCACAGCACGAACCTGCTGCGCTGACAGGCGGTGCCACAGGCATGGCACAAGCTGCGCGCGAACCCGATTGGATAGAATGGCCGACTTGGGCTCGGAGAGGGAGCGAGGGAAGCAAAGATCCGTTCAAGATAAGACTTGTCTCGAAATGAGACGTGAGGAACACTCAGAGAATAACGTAGAAGGCACTTTATTTAGTCCTATTTTGAACGCTGAGGTTCGACTACACATCGCGGGGGTCAGGCTATTTACAGGCAAGCCCGGACTAGGCAGCGATGGGCAGCCAAGGGAGGGAAAAGTGGGCGATCGAGCAGGGCGGTGCTTCTCAAGCCAGAGCCGGAATCGGTTCACTTTGGTGTCCAAAATGAAGTTTGCCTGCTTGCATACCAGTCGCAGATTCCCGATATCTGTGAGTGGAAGGGAGAACTGGAAGCTGTCGTTGCAGCATATGATGGTGAAGATGTCGGGGACAAAGCCCCGATGAGCCGACTGGACAGGGTTGAGGTTCGCGGGGCTTGTACCCGCACCGGCTAGGGCGAGGGCTCGGCGGGTCTGCGAGCGGGTCACTCGGCGCTCAGGAGGGCTCGCCATATTGGCTGGATGGGAGATGGGAGATTGTCGCTGGAGCTGGGGAGGTAGGGGGAATCCGCATCCAACCCGAGACGAAGATCACCGAGCCTGTCCGAACCGCGGATCGAATCGGATCCAGCCGGTTCACGTGGTTGCCGGCAAGGATTCGACCTGTCACTCGTCCTACAAGGACCGCCAAACACAAAGACTCCATGTCCCATCACCCAGAGTACATGTACACGGATCAAAGCAGTGTCTTTATTCAATGAACACATCCTCAGAGTCAGAAGTCAAGTCAAAGATCGCACCATTGAGCTCGGAGGGAATGGAAACAGAATCATCCAGCACAAAAACATCACCATCATCGTCAATGTCCATCGATTCACTGCAGAAATCCGCCAATTCATCATCCGACATGGAGTATTCGTCTTTTTCAAATTCGGCCTCGTAAAAGTCGTTCGCCCGGTACCATTTGTACAAACGTCGGCTCTCCCTGCCACTCAGAGGCTTGAAATCCGGGTGATCCCTGAAGCACTTGACGTTGTGGGCGATGAGGTCGACGATGGCTTGGGGAATTTTTTTTTTCTTTCTTTATTGTGCGCCGCCGTGGCGGCGCACTAGCCATCAGGACCCCGTGGTCCCCGGCATCTCGCTCTTCATGGAGTACATCGAGTGTTTAAATGTCCCACTCAGGAATGTCGCCGGGCCTGGCTTGCCATCCAGCGAGTCTCCACATCAGGGTATGGAATATCTGTTCCAGATCAGTCCACAGACCGTTGAAGGCCTGTCCCACGATGGGTTCTTCGTTTTCCAGCTTGCCAACCTCTCCCAGCATATCCAGCAATTTATCAATAGGCCCGACACCTTCGGTCTCGGGCTCGGTCCATCCAGTGAAAATATCCTTATAGCCCTGTACCAGGGCGTCCAAGGCGTCTTCCTCATCCACACACGTCTGTGCGTGGGATCTGCTCAGTTCGATTCGGCCTTCGCCGTTGCGTTTGCACTTTTTGCAGAGGCGGTACTTGCCGTGTGGGTGCCCGGAGAAGGCACCCAGTCTCCACCACACCATTACTACGTGTAGTCTTCGTGGGATGCTTGGTCCAAGTTGGGTCCAGACTCCCGACATCTTTGTTCTTGGTGTGCACGCAGCCGTCAGCTGCTGTCCTCGCTTGAACGATGTGTGGGCATCGTGGGTCAGCATGAGTGTTTTGACCGACAGAATCTGTGTGCGATCCGTGGTCGAGTCGTCGTCCTTGGCAAAGGCCATGGACATCGAGAACGTGGCGTTCTTCTCCTTGCGGGTGCAGGTCAGGTTCCATTGGATGCTTTCGTAGAAGGGCTTGCCAAGGTATGGCTGGTCCTTCATCGCCGTGGATCGGATAAAGCGGGTGATGAGGGCGATCATCTTGTCGTCGTGTGTGGCGACGTCTTCCCATCGTGCTCGGCATTGGATGCCGAGGACCTTTGCTCTTGTCGCCATCGTGGGTAATCCGCAATTGAGGTGCAGTGCTCCGTGTGAAGTCGTGCGAGCGGTGCGGAACAGTAAGTTCAGGCAGAGGGTTTGTGTCCGGTGGAGCCGCTTCTGTTCGTTCTTTGGGATGGCGTCGAGGGCGAGGCCGTATTCCATCATCGGCCGCAGGAACGTGCGGTATGCAATCGTTAGGGTCTTAGCCGTGAGGTTCCCAAGGGTCAGGCCCATCTTGGCCATGTTGGATGCTGCTTCTCTTGTCCTGGTCACCATTCGGTCGACTTGTTTGTCGATGCGGAATCCATTGACGTCGATCATGGCGCCGAGGTACTTGAAGATCTTGGTCTCAGGGAGGTTTTGGCCATAGAGGCGCAAACCCGTTTGTTTGTCGGTGCAGTGGTCTGAGAAGATGACCTCGCACTTTGGGGGTGAGAACCTGTATCGGTTTCTCCGGCTGTGGGCCTCGCACAGATTGAGGAGTGGTTGTGCTTGTCCAGGTTTGCAGATCAGGACACCGTCATCGGCGAACCACAGTGAGTTCACTTTGATGGTGGCCCCGTTGCGTCCCTGGAGGGGAGTGCCTCCCATATCTCGGAGACGTCTTGGTAGATCGTCGATGAAGGCGCTGAACATGAGTGGGCTCAGCACCGATCCTTGGATCAGTCCTTTCTGGAGCCATACTGGCTTGGATCTTCTGCCCTTGCTGACCATTTGGATGGATACCCGGTCAAACATGGCTTTGAGGAAGCCGAGGGCGATGCCGTTCATTCTTCGCTGCTTGAGCTTGGTCCAGAGTCTCTCGCGCCATACTGTGTCATAGGCGGCTTTGATGTCGAGGAAGATCAGAGAGTACTCCTCACCGTTCATCTTGTGGTGCTTGATCAGGGTGTCCAGGGCGACGATCTGGTCAAGGGCTCCTCGTCTGGCTCGAAATCCACCTTGGGCGACGTCCATGTCTCCTGCCTGTTCTGCCAGGAAGGGAAGCATGATCCTTTCCACGATCTTCCTGCAGGTCTGAGTGAGACCGATCGGGCGATACATGGCCGGGTCCAGGGTCGATCTCTTCTGTTTGTACACTGGGTGGATCAGCACGCTGTTCCATTCGCTTGGCACCACACTGGCCTTGAGCGCCGCCATGATGATCAGGCGGAGCCACTCGGCTATCACTGGTGCGACTGGTATGAGCATTTCGCTCTTGATCTTGTCGGATCCCGTTGCCTTGCGGCGTGGTGCCTTCTCGATGGTCACTTGGATGTGCTCCAGCGATACTTCTGGGAGCCGCTTGTCGGGCGGCAGGAGGGTCGCCTCCGTGCTCAGGGGTGGCGGGGTTATACTTCTGTCGTACTCTGTCCCGCTGTCCTGCGAGGCAGAGGATACCTTGCCAAAGTGCACCACGAGTTTCTCGAGAGTCGGATCCGAGTTGTCAAAGAGATGAGATCCTTCCCTCTCCTTCCTCGTGCGCATCGCTCCGATGGTCTTGGTCATCTCGGAGCACTTCTGGGTGTCCATGGTGGCCATGGATTCCTTCCATGACCGTATGCCGTTCTTGCGCTTGAGCTGGGTGATGGCCTTTCTCGTGGACCGAAGCTGACGACGCAGGTCGTCCAGCTCTTCCGTGTCGTACTCGGGGGTCTGGGCGAGCATTCTGCTCAGGCATCGCCGTTCTCGTTCCAGGCGTCGAATTTCGGGCCCCTGTGTGCCCTCGATCCGACCAGGGCTGATGCTGGCGCTTCCGATGGTCTCGCTGGCGATCAGGTCGATCGTGGTCTTGAAGATGCTCCACGCGTCGTCCATGGACTTCTGGGCTGCGGCTTCGCTGATGGCAATCTGGCTGCCCTGTTGAATGGGCGTGAGAGCCTGTTCCATCAGCTCGGTGCATCCGAGTTTGGCGGCGTTGAATGCGCGTATGTACTTTCCCTTGACTTTGGGGTATCGAATCATGCCGATCCGCCATCTCCAACAGTCCGTTTTGGTATATCGCTCGGGTTCAATGTTGATCTTGGTCCAGATCGGTTTGTGGTCTGATTCACCGTATCCTCGCTTCGAGTCCACCTGGAGGACGGGCGGGGGTCGGGCCAGGTTCCTGGATACCAGGATGTAGTCTATTGTGGAGACTTGGTTGCCGTTCGTCCATGTGTGCGTTGGGACGGCTATGGGGGCGACGACTCGCATGTTGGCTGTTCGTATTGTGTCTTCCATGATGATAGCTGGTCTCTTCCGCCGTTTCTGCTGAGGGTTCAGCATGCTGAGGCGGGTGTTAAAGTCGCCCATGACAATGACCTGGGCGTGGGGTTTGCGACATTGTTCCTTGATGGACTGCATCGCTCGCTTGAACTTGACTGTGTCCAGTCCCGGAGGCAGGTAGAAGCATCCGATGTATGTTCGGCTGCCGTACCTGATCCAGGTGAACAGGCCGTCCGGGTCTATCCCTTCGACGTTTAGATCGTTGGGATCGATGGTTTTGCTGTTGTATAGGATGGCGATGCCGCCACCCTTTCGGTCTGTTCGACGGTGTTCGACGACCGTCAGCTGCTTCCACGGGTTGGTCGCTCCGGGGTAGAGGAGCGTTTCCTGGGTGGCCAGGATGTCGACCTTGAGGTCTTCTATGAGGTTCTTGACAGCGGTTTGCCTCGCATGGAGGCCACGGACGTTGAAGGATGCGACGGTCAGCTCTGTCCGTAGAGCGCCGCCTCCTGTTGGGTTCTCACTTATCATTGGGGGTGATGGTTTCTGCGTCGCTGACGTCACCATTCTCGTTGTTTTCGTCTGCACCACTCAGGTCCATGAGTTCCGCGCAGTCGTTTGGGGTTTGGGGCCTATCCAGTTGGGTGGCCTCGATGCGGATGTCGCGGCGGTTGACCGTCTCTCCGTCAAGGATGGATCTGGCCAAGCGGTCAAACTCCTGGCGGTATGCCAGGGGAATCTGCATCTGGAGGCTCCTCTTGACCGTGAAGTCTTTGGTCCTCTTAACGCGGTTGAGGGACTGCAGCATGTGTGTCTTGAGCTGCTCTTTCTCATTCTCCTTAGTTTGGGACTTTTGGAGCTTCTTCTTGATGGGATCGTAGCCGGTCAGGAGACTCAGCTTCTTTCCCTTGTCGGTGGGGAGGTTGAGGATTTTGGAGAGGATCTCCTCCTTCTTTGCCGCGTCACGGATCAGGATCTCGATGACGTTATTCTCCGGGAACGAGATATCGGCGATCTCGCGGCTGGGGATGCCGATGCTCTGGAACGTCTTTCTGACGAGTCCGTAGGGGAGTCGCTGGATCCCTTTGACGTAGACCCACTCCATTCGGTTCACCTTCTCGCGGAGGGGCTCGTTGGTGATGCTGCTGTTGTTGATGTGGCCCGAGATCCAGGCCGGTCGCTTGGTGGCGCTGGGGACGATCTTCAACTCTATGTTGGGGACTCGTCCGGTGGTGAGGATACGGCCACACTCGGCCATCTTCTCGTTTCCAGAGAGGCTCTGGACGTGCTCTGTGGCCTTGGCGATGTTGGCCTTGAGAGCCTCGCTGTAGCTCATCATGGGCGGTTTGGACGCCGAGTCCTTCTTCTGGGTAGCCCTTTGGGGGGCTTTTTGTGCCTGTTCGGCTTTGATCTTCTCGATGACGTCTTCAACCGATTTGAGGGTGTCTTGGATGATCTCGATAGCGCCGGTAGACAGCTTGGCTTTGTCGGCGCTCTTGGCGAGCTTGGTTTGGAGGGCCTTGAGGGTTTCAAGGGCCGACAGATCTTCGTCGTCGCTTTCGCCGCAGCTGTCGCTCATGCTGCTGGTAAGGTCAATCTCGGGAGCGCCTGGTGTCAAGTCAGGCTTGATCCGTGCATAGGCAGCGGCGCATTTTCTGTTGAACCCCTCGATGATGGCTTGATCTGTGCTGTGGAGGAGCTCTTCCGCCCTGGCGGCGGTGCCTCTGGACATAGCGGCCCAGGCGTGGAAGCAGGTCATCTTGAAGTGTCCGTACTTCTCTTCGCATCCTCTGCTGCAGATGCGGTGGCCTTTCTCGTCGATTGTTGACGGTGCACCGCAGTACACGCACTCGGGGGTGACGAGGAGGTGTCGGGTGGCCCAGAAGAAGAGCTCTGCAGGGACTTGTTCGAGGGGGATCTGCTCGAGCACCTCTCTCTGTTCTTCTTCATTTCTGCTTGTCCAAAGAGCAGCAGCGATGGTTCCTATGTCGATCTGGCCTTGGGGAGGGGGGGTGGAGGGGAGGGGGGCTGGAGGGGGAGAGGGAGATTGGGGGGGCCGGAACTTGACAGAGGTGTTCGCTATGCGTCCTCGTTTGAGCTGGATTACAGTTGGCTTGGCATTCTTGGAGGTCCTGCCCGCCATCTCTGGCTTTGAGCTTAGCGGTGTGGTTTATCTGTTGGTGTGTGTATTCTCTCTCGCTCAGAATCCCGCAAAATCGAGATCAGGTGAGAGTCCTGTGGAGTGGGATGCAATCATCGACGGGAAGCGGGGAATCCGACTGTGAATGATGTCCCTGTGTGAAGCCCAAGCACAAGGACCCCGTGACTCATTCAGGTTATACATTGGTTCAAATGATCCATTCCATCCGATTGGAGCCATGCGCAGCTGTAAAATGAATGAATCGCTCTGTTTCAAAGTGACTTGGCCATCCAACAAAACCAACCGCTCGTCTGTCTCCCGCATTGTCTCCCTTTCGTCCCCTTCTCACCAGCCACACCAAGAGCACTTTCGAACTTTCCCTCGCGGCCATGGAAGTACCAGACTCGCCGCCGTCGCACGATCAAGCCATGGTCGCACTAGGTGAGGGTCGCTACATGCGAAACACAAAGGTCTCGAACTGGAGCTTGGGTTGTTACCTGGGGACCGTTGTGTGCTAGGAGGTGTCGCTGGACGAGGGGAAACGGCATTGGGATGTTGGGATAGCTGTGGCTTGGGCAAGTTGGTGTAACGGTTATTCCGCCCGGTTTGTCATGTGATCTTGTACTCACCATGTGATCCATTCACACGTGATGGTATCCACAGAACAAGGTGATTCACACGGAACCAGTGAGAAATTACACACCAATGAGATGAACGAGGACCTCTTGGCCTTTGCAGAGTTTCTTCAAAAATACTACTTGGTCAAATACAAGCAGCTCCTCATAGACAATGACTACGACACCATCGACTCGGTATGTACCCCTGATATTGAGGATGCGGTTGTTGGCCATATTCTAATTCAATTTACAAGACAGATTCTGCGGATGTCCGAGGATGAGATGAAGGGGATTGACCTCAAGCCTGGTGCAATCAACAAGATCAAGAATGCCAAGGCGGATTATGAGAACTCTCGAGGCAAAGACGAGAAGAAGCCAAACGCAACAAAACGCGAGATCCAACAGCCCCAGCGAGTCTTGCAGCCAGAGGAGTACTATCCGGCAGTACCCACACAACATTGGGAGTGTCAAAGCCATTTTGAAGAGCACCATGTTTTCATCAGGTTCGTGGTTTCTCGGCCCAAACTGTGCGATTCAATTCCATCCAATTAACGCCTGTTCCCACAGTTACCGAGCCCGAAGTGATGCCGGTAATGCCACGACTCTGCATGGAACCCTCGCTGTCACTCCGCGTGGCCAAATGGCACTTCATCCCTATCTCGACAGTCTCTGTCTCTGTGACGGCATGCCCTGGGAACAAGGTTTCATCAACGGTCTCTATCGATCCAACGTGATTGTCCTGATCCTCTCTGAGGCTGGACTAGAGCAGACCTACAACGCTCAGAACTTCAAGGACAACCAGTTTCTCGAGGTAAGTGCGTCTGAATGCATATAACTGGATTGTATTTGGAAACTCACCTATCCTGTGAATGCAGATCCAACATGCTCTCAAGAGAATGAAGGATGGTGAGAAGAGTGGACAATCTGTCATCATCCAGCCCATCTTCATGTGGTCCACCAGAGAGATTGATGGCGAGACATTCCAGAAGAAGTATTTCCCGTCGGTCAAAGAGTTCCCTGACTTCACCCCGATCCATGAAAAGAGTCCGTTGTTCAACAACAAACCAATGTCGATCCGTGAAACCTTTACTGAGTTGATGAAGCTACAGGCCCTCGATGCTGCGGATGGAAACGCTCTCAAGAGGTGAGATCATCAAATCCACAAGTGAAACGGTTGATACAATCTCACACTATTGATATTCCACAGACTGGTCCCCAATATTCGTGAGCTCATAACAAAGACTTCCATTGCCGACAAGCAAGGCGATGTGTACACACAAGGCGGTAGTGTCGTCCTCACCGCCGAACAAGACCACGCCTTGCGATCCCTCCTCGACCCTGTCGACTCCTCTTCCGACAGAAGGGCACTCGAGGATCTGTATGTCGAGGGTACTCGCCAGTGGCTATTCGACCAAACGACTGAGTGGGTCAACCAGGACACCACCGACACTGTCCTGTGGGTCAATGCCGTTGCTGGTGTCGGCAAGTCTGTCGCTGCCGCTCAGGTCGCCAACATCCTCACAGCCACCAACCAGCTGGTGTCGGCGCTGTTCCTCAAGTACAACGACACCCGCAAGAGCGATCCACGAGTGGTGCTGAACACCATCGCATACGGTCTGTGCAAGTGGCACTCGCCGATCGGCCGCAAGCTGCTCGATGCTGGTCACTCCAAGGACAGTCTCGACAAGATGAGCATCCCCGAGCTGTTCAAGGCCGTGATTGCCGATCCACTCGAAGCCATCGGCAATTACAGACCCAAGGGATCAGTGATGATCCTGGTGGATGCACTCGACGAGTGCTCTCCGCGCGACCAGCTGCTCAGTCTGCTTGCCTGGCGGTTCGTCGAACTGAACAAGACCCGTCCGTGGCTCAAGCTGCTGCTGACATCCCGTCCCGAGGAGGACATCAAGGCAGCATTCGATGGAGTCCCGACCAAGACGATCGAGCCCTCGAGCGAGGAGAACATCCGTGACCTCGAGGTGTACATCCGCCACCGACTGCGAGTGTATGACACTCTCAGTGACTCGGACCGCACCGAGGCAGTCGCCATCCTGCTGGACCAGTCCAAGACATTCGTGTGGATCAACCTGATCCTCAACACCGTCGACGCAGCATCCAAGGACGGCCCAGTGACACTCGCCACGATCAAGGACATCAACGACAGCGCCGCCGATGTCGGGCAGTTGTACAACAAGACATTCGCCAAGATCCACTCGCAGTCGAGCCACCCGGCCGAGTTGGTCACGGTGGTGTCGGCCATCGCCACGGCCCAGTCGATCCTGACACCGCAGATCATCGCCGATGTGTTTGGACTCGAGATCGGCGTCGTTCGCGAGTGTCTCACGAGCCTCAGCCTGGTCCTCGATCCTGGCGCCAATGGATTGGGTCCCCGAGGCAGCCAGTCCACCAACACCGAGGTCAAGTTCAACCACAAGTCGGTGGCGGACTATCTCCTCGGCGATGCATCGGCTGGCCATCCGTGGCATGTGTCGAGCTCGTTCCACACGGTGTTTGCCAAGGGATGTCTCGGTGTGATCCTCTCGCACGGGCCAGTGGTCAACATCTGCGATATCTACGACTTTCACGACAAGATCCCTGACCTCGAGGACAGGGTCGCAGACAAGATCACACCGTCGCTGCGATACAGCGTCGCCCACTGGATCACACACTTTGTGTGGTGTGTGGAAGAAGTGGCCGAGTCGAGTCCGGTGTGGCAGTCGGCCGAGACTGTCGATGTGGCTGTGGTGCTCACTCGGTTCGTCAAGACGCATGTGTTCTTCTGGCTCGAGTGTGGATCGCTCACACATGTGGTCAAGCCGATCATCGAGCAACTGGCTGTGCTGCGAGGAGTGGTCGTCAAGGCACCCAGCACCATCATCGACGACACCACGAAGGAACTGGTCAAGGACACGTATCGATTCATCCGCGAGTTTGCCGACCCGATCATCGCGAGTGCACCACAGGTGTACAACTCGGGGTATGCATTCACACCGAAGGAGACGGTGATCTACAAGACATATGCCGACCAGCTCGAGGACAAGATCCCGTTCCTGGTCACTTGCGGTCCAGCACCCACCTGGGATCCGTGTGTGATGACAATTACTGGACACACGAATTGGGTGTCCTCCGTAGCGATCTCACCCAATGGCAAGATTGTTGTCTCGGGGTCAAAGGACAATACCATCAAGGTGTGGGATTCCACCACTGGCCAGCTGAAGCACACCCTCGAGGGACATACAAACCTTGTGAACTCTGTGGCGATCTCACCCGATGGCAAGTGGATTGTCTCTGGCTCAGGAGACAATACCATCAAGGCGTGGGATGCCACCACTGGCCTGTTGAAACACACCCTTTGGGGGGGGGGACGCACAAGAAGTGTGAACTCCGTGGCGATCTCACCCGATGGCAAGTGGATTGTCTCTGGCTCTGAGGACAAGACCATCAAGGCGTGGGATGCCACCACTGGCCAGCTGAAGCACACCCTCGAGGGACACACAGACAGGGTGTTCTCCGTGGCGATCTCACCCGATGGCAAGTGGATTGTCTCTGGCTCCAGTGACAATACCATCAAGGTGTGGGATTCCACCACTGGCCAGCTGAAGCACACCCTCGAGGGACACACAGACAGGGTGTTCTCCGTGGCGATCTCACCCGATGGCAAGTGGATTGTCTCTGGCTCCAGTGACAATACCATCAAGGTGTGGGATGTCGTCACAGGCCAGGTGAAGCACACCCTCAGGGGACACGCAAACTATGTGACCTCCGTGGCGATCTCACCTGATGGCAACTCAATTCTGTCTCGCCAATCGGGTGGCAATCAAATCCTCTGGGTCCGTCGCGGTGACGAGTGGGTTCGCTCCGACGAAGATCCCTCCAACTTTACCACCGCATCCAACCCACATGCATCGTCCCAGTGGACCCAAATCGACCGACGCAGCGCTCGCCAATGGATCCGCCATGACATCCACACCACCAAGGTCCCACACTCCCTCTTTGGTGATTGGAAGTTCACTCCATCCGGCGGGGTTGTGTTTTGGTCCCATGAAACACCCCACCACCCAGTCATCATCCTGGTAAGTCCAGCCACCTGTCACCACTCCTCCAGTCCCTCAACTAACCCTCCTACCACCACAGCCAATCTACCTCAACACCCCAGAGATCCGAGCCGAGGTTGCCAGATACATCAAAGCCAAACCAGCCGTCGCAGCAGGGTTTGAAGAGGCGAGAGTAAGAGCCGAAGAGCAAGCACGAATCGCCGAAGAAGCACGACTCGCCGAGGAACAAGCACTAATTGCAGAACAAGCACGAATTGCAGAACAAGCACGACTCGCCGAGGATGCCCGAATCGCGACAGTAATAGCCAAATGGATGGGTCTGTTCAAGTGGTCCCGCAAGTAGTGTGGGAAGAACGCAAGTGCAATTGGAATGTATTGCATGCGAAATATCGAATACAGTGTCCGTATGCCGTGTGAATTTGGGCATAGGTCCGC